TAGCCAGAGAATAATTTAATGATAATAGTGAATGGTGGAGCAGCGTCATCCTTGTGGGACGTTCCAAGCATACAGTGTTAGATAGCAAGGATGTATTTCTTTAACTTTGTACTTCCCAAAGGTTTCTGCTTAAAGTTCAATGTTGGTATCACCCTCAAAAAATCGTAGATTGATTTTTGTGAGTTCTAAGCTATATGTTAGATTATTAGAAATTCTTCCTTCAGAATCAGTTTTGATAAGGTTTAAGCACTTCGAGATTTCTAAGTGTTGGACTTAAGGATATGTCGTCATTCAATCCAAATAAATTTTGAGGACAAAATTTATTTTAAGGATGAGAGAGTTGTAACACCCAAATTCCATACTAGTAATTTTGGGTTTACTCGAGGGGTAAATAGACCCTGTGAATTTCATATTTAAGTTTTTGGGTCGATTTGGGCTTAATGGGGTTGGTTTTGGGCCCAATTAGCTATAAAGAGAAGGGTTTTTAATAGTAAAATGATGGGGAATGACCAAAAGTGTAATTTCCCCATTTTGTAAACATGAAGGTTTTTATATCTATTTCATCTTTTTCTCTTCATTTCATCCTCCTCATTTCCTCTTCCTTCATCTTCTCCAAGTAACCATAGCTCAAAGGTAAGTCTTAAGCCTTTTTCATACTTCATTTTTCGTCTTAAATCCATCCAGCAACTTTAGTTTAATGAGCTAAGTAAGGAGCTTAATTTTGGGATTCAGACATCAAGATAGTGTATTTATAATCCTTTGGAGTATTAAGCTTTCATAAATTTCAAGAATTTGCTAAGATTCGTGTAGTTGAGCATATTAGGGTTTAAACTTGATTTCAAGATTAAAAAAAGTTTTAGGTGTTGAGAAAGTGTTTTTATCAACCTTGAGACCCTAGTTAACTCTCTAAAACTTTAGTACATGATTTAGAATCAAACAGTGGCCTTTATAGTATTTTTGGGTTTTTTGAACCTAAAATATAACCATTTTAGGGTTCTAATATCAATACTAGGGTAAATAATATTGAAACCGAAAGAATTAGAGAAAATTAGGGTTTCAGAAAGGGAATATCGATACTACCAGGGAGAGTATCGATACTGCTAGGGAGAGTATCGATACAGACCCTATAGTATCGATAATCAGGGTAACAGTATCGATACTAGGCTATTTTTCAGAAACATAATGTATTTTTGGTACTGATACTCATAGAGGTATCGATACTTGACCTCAAGGTATCAATATTGCTAGTAGAGTATCGATATTACTCACTTTGGATGGTCATATTCAACTCGTTTAAGGCCCGTAAGAGCTAAGGATGACACATAATAGTAAGACATATCTCATTAGGGATATAAATGATCAATCATACATAGAACACTCATAGAAGTGGGTTACAATAGATGTAACTATACTAAGCGTAATATATCGAAATATCTTCAGTAGAGTACATATATGGATTGTTAAGGTCGAGGATCATTGTAGAGGATATACCGACAAGTGGTACATTGAATAAGTCAGATTCAATAATAGTGAAAAGCGTGAGCTTCAAGAACGTCAGTGAACCCAAGAGGGGTAAGTCGTCATTTTTCAGTTCAAAGGGAATTGAATGAAGTACAATAAGAGCGACAGAGCGTCATTCAAGTATCGGGCTACCTAGTACTTCAAACAGTGATCAACAAACTCAGTAATCACCATTAAATCATGAAATGTGCAGGGACTTTTCTTGAGTTAAAGTGATTAAAGCGTCCTTAAGTAACTGATAATTCTTCAAAAGAGTTATTTACCTAGGTTAGGCTTGAACTTTAGCATTTTTAGGGTCATATTAGGATCATTTTATATATATTTCATCATTTGCATCATGGGAGTGAGTTGGTGGAAGTTGGCTTGACTTTAATGTTTTATGTTGTAAATTCGTACGCTGATGTTGTGGCATTGCTTGAAGCTGTAGGTGATGCTTCAGTGTCAATGCTGCAGTAACTGGTGATTCAGTAGATAGTTATGGAATTTTATAGATTCATACAATTATCCAATACAGATGTAAAATGGCTGAAAATATAGGAAAATCATATTTTTCATATTAGAGGATATTTTGCCTTGTTAAGCTTATAAATAGGGTCTCCCTTCACACTTTTGACACTTATTCTTCAACCTTTCTTCATTTTCATTTATTTTCTTATTTTCTCCACCATCCATGGAGGTTTGAATCTGCTAGGGAGTGTTGCAGTAGCGTAGGAGCTTTGTCGACTAGCATCGGTGGTCAAGAAGATTCCTTTCCTACTCTTGCTCTTCTTTTGAGGTAGGAAAGTAGCATGTAGATTTTAATGTTACTTAATTTTTTTGCGTGTGATAGGGTGCTAAATTTGATACTCAATTTGTGCAAGTATACACAGTTGCACAAGTAATAAAGAGTGAGTGGGTATCGTTCCTAAGAGGATTGAAGGGATTTAAAGTAAAGATTATACACTTGGAATAAAAACAAACTAAATGAGGGTGATATGAACAAATGAATGTGATGGTTGAGGTAAGTGTCAACTATAATAAATTTTTGAAGCAAAGATTAAATGATAAATTTTGTAATGAAACTGTAAGTTGAGAAATGATGCAGAAATAAGAACACGATGTGACCTCACACTAAAGAAACTGTCAATAAGGCTAAACTTCTAGGTTTATCATGGAATCCTATATCTTAACCTTAATGAATGTCAACAATTTCCAACTTACATAATGCTCGATAGAGTTTTCTAAGGTGTTTCTAAACTATCTCTAGCAAGAAATCTGATAGAATAATGCTAAAGTGATACCTCTCAGTGTAAAGCCTAGCAAAATACTATCGTTTAAGCTCTACTCCTTTTAGTCGTTGAAACTTACTCCTTATCTATAAGGCAAGTTAGAGTTTTACTTAACATATTCATCCCATTGTACACGTAGATCTACACTTAACTCTCTTGATATCAAACATAAAATAAATATAAATGCTATCTCTTGAAAGCTCTTAAAAATCCAAGCAATAAAATAGTGAACAAAGCATAAGGTAAACTGAAAAATGCTATCACATTCATGGAAAGAAAAACATGTTCATCCAAAATAAACCCAAGGCAACTTAATTTAGTTCATGGTTGGGTAACAAACATCCATAAGTATTCGTTTAATATAATCTTCAGAAATAAATGGAGGAAATAAAGGCAATAAAAGGAGGGAAGAAGATCCCAAGCAGAGAGTTACAGTGGAAACCGTGAACCTCCCTAGCACTGCTGCTTCTCTCAAAGTCCAACAAGCTTTATCCCCTTGGAGCTTCAACAATGGTGGTCACCTCGTTGGAGAAAAGAAGGTTGAAGAGTGGTCATCTCTTCTTTTTTCTCTTTCTTATCTCACGCTATTTTTCTCTCTCCTTAATATGGTGTCTTTTTTCTTTATATAGTGGGGTCTCCTAGGGTTTTAGGCCCTCATTCTCATTGTTACCTAAGGGAATGTACCCTTAAAGTATAGGGGTCAGCTCGCAGGTATTTTCCTTAAGTTACCTTCACATTACCACAACAAAGTAACCTTCCTCAAGCAGCATCTATTTCAGAAAAATAAAATTCAAAATAACAAAATCCACCTAAATACGAATGAATACATTATATGAAACTATATACAACGAAATGAGCTTTTGAACAACCAATAACCTAAGTGAAAAGCACGAACTATAGCCTTTTTACGAGGTTATCAATTTCTAAGGATGATATTTTGGGTTATGAACTTAGCCATTTGTTTAATGCTTTTAATTATGTTTATATTATGACTTTATGTTATATACTGTTATATTTTTAAAGATAGTTGTAGAAATATAATTATCTTCATGTATGTTTATTGATGATATTTACAAATGAAAATAATTAATAGATATAATACTTTTATTCAGCCTTGGTTTGCCGAAAAGCAAATTTGCATGTGAGATATATGTTTCCCAATATCTAGCATTGTTAATAGTTTAATTAATTGAGTCAATGAAAGTTTATTCACATCTTTTAGATAACATTAATCATTCCTATATGCATAAACATTTCGTTCATGGTATACTCATAATGGAAGCTACCAAATATCTTCCTAATTCATTCGATCCTTGACTTATTGGTCTCATTATATTGTAGCACTGCTTGCATTTTTTATCCTATTTTTAATACCTTTCTTATATCCCTGTCTCTTCCCACTCATAGAATTTACCTTTTAATATTCAAAGTTAACAATTTTAAGCTATAATTATTTTCTCTCTATGGGTTCGACATCTGAAACTCTCATAATTTCCACTTTATTACTTGTTATGCGACATGTGTACTTGCTTAATTACTATAGCATTTTCGTAGCATTAAGTCTTTGGCGCCGTTATCGAGGAGCAATGGTATTACATTAGAATTGTTTTCTTTGTTTTACTAACTTTGTTATTTTCTTTTCATAGGTACTTTATTTTTTAGAGTAGTGTTGCTGAGCATGACATATAACAACACTAAGGACTTAGAACTGTTAGATTTGAAAATCGAGCAAACAAACCACCGAATGAGGCAGCAACATCAACAACAACCATACAAGGCTTAATATGGTGTTCTACCTTTACAAAATATTCTGATACCGTAGAATTGCTACAACATCGATGACAGCAACAGGCCAATATGAGAGTATATTTACCAACATTGGATAATCTATATCCTATTATCGTGAGGCTTGTCACAGTGTTGCTAACTTCAAACTGTAGCCAGTGATGTTCCAAATGTTGGAGTTAATTGGACAATATAGTGAGATACACACCGAGGACCCTCGAGCGCACTTGTGAGCATTCATAGATGTGTGTGATTCTTTTGTACATCAAGGAGTTCCCAAAAAAAATGAAGCTGAAATTATTTCCCTACTCGCTTCGTGACAAAGCTAGAGCATGGCTTAACTCATTGTCGTCTGGTGCTATAATATCCTGGAATGAATTAGCACAAAAATTGTTGGTGTGTTTCAATCCACCCAACATAAATTTTAAATTGAGGAATGACATCACATATTTCAACCAATTGGAGGATGAGAGCTTGTATCAAGCATGGAGTGATTTAAAGAATTGCTACGCAAATGCCCGATGCATGGTTTCCAGTATTGGATACAAATAGAGATATTCTACAATGGTATTAATATGTAATCTCGAATAATTGTAGATGCATCTGCCAATGGAGCATTGCTAGACAAATCTTACAACAAAGCCTATGGTATCCTTGAAAAGATCTTCAACAATGACTACCAATACCCCAATAAGAGGAACATGTTTTGCATATACAATGTTGCAGTAGTGGACTCTGACGCACTAAATTCAATGGCATCACAAATAACAACATTGAATGAGATGGTAATGAAGCTGCAACAACTTGAAGGTAAGTATGAAGTGAAATCAGCATCCATTATTACTTGTGAATATTGTGGTGACAATCATAATTTTGATAAATGCCCTCAAAATCCTGATTCTTTGTATTTCACGAGGAGCTACAACTGGAATGATAATGCCTACACCTATGAGAACACCTACAATCTGAACTTTTATAATCGTTTTGATCTATCATGGAGAAGTCAAGATGTAGCCTACTCTAATGAGGCATTGCATTCATATTTCGAGAATACACAACCACAACATCAGACGCATCAACAATATGAGTAGCAACAACCGATGCTGCCACATCAACAGACGCGTCATCAAATAATGCAACCATAATACTGCAGCAACTAGTAGAGCTATCAAGGACAAAATTTTAACCAAGATTCAACATTATCATCACTTGAGTCTCTACTGATGAAGCACATTCAAAGTCAGACAGCATCATTGAGAGCATTGGAGAAATAAGTTGGACAGTTGGCCAATGCGTTAAATACCGAACAATAAGAAACATTGCCAAGTGAAACTGAAGTTACTTGTAACCATCATTGCAAAGCTGTCACAACAAGAAGTGGACTCCAACTTGGGTTGTATGATGAGCACAAGAAGAAAGATCATGAGAGGCCTAAAGAAAAATAAAAAGGGAAGGATCTGGAAGTACAGAGTGAGCCACCCAGCTTTGATGTCACAGCAAAGATGCAGTCCAGTGCATTAATTATGGGAAAATGCCACCATTAATGCCAATAACACTGCCACCTGTGATGCCACAATAATTGTCGCATCAACCTAAAGGAAGGCCACCACATTCATTCCTTCAACGATTTCAAAACTCCAAGGAGGACTAGCAATTTAAGAAGTCCTTTAATGTGCTGAAGTAATTAAGAAACAATACCCCATTGATTGATACCTTGGAACAAATGTTGAACTATGCCAAATTTATGAAAGAAGTGTTTTTCAAGAAAAGTAGTCTTGGAGAGTTGGAAACCATTGCACTCACTGAAGGGTGTAGCGCCATGGTCACGAGCAGATCGCTACCGAAGTTAAAATATCCAGGGAGATTTACTATTCCTTGCACTATTGGCAATCAATTCATTTCTACGGCATTATGTTATTTAGGTTCCAGCATTAACCTTATGTCTTTATCTATTTTCAGGAAATTTGGGATTGAAGCAACATTCACCAATGTTGCACTACAATTTGCTGACCAATCTATTGCCCATCCTGAAGGAAAAATAGATAATGTGCTAGTACAAGTGGACAAATTCATCTTTCTAGCAGAATTCATTATCTTAGACTGTATAGCCATAAAGGATATGACAATAATATTGGGTAGACATTTCCTTGCTACAGCACGAACACTAGTTGATGTCCATATGGGAGAACTCACAATGCGTCTAAATCACCAGTAGATCACATTTAATATTTTTGCAATGCAATGACAATGTTGAATGTTATGTTGTTCTCATTACCTAGGGAACAAAGCAAGAACACTTGGATGAAGATAAAGCATATGTATAAGCACATGATGAAACACTATGGTGGAAATATACCCAAACACATTGCTTCAATTTGGTTTTATGAACTCAAGCCTGATTAGTTTAATTATTTTATTTTATTTTATTAGATTTTGTTATTTTATTAATTTTATTTTCTTCTCTTTTCAGGTCGTGCTTCGACATTGGTCATTGCACCTTCAACCAACACATGTTGTTTTTACTTCACAACATTAGCTGGAGTTCCAAACCATCATTATTGCCCAACATCTTCTTGAATTCCATACTACCATTACTACACATTATGCCCAACTCACAAGGGGAGTATTGTTGTCCCTATTGCACTCTACATTTATTTTTTTCCCTTATTTGCATTCATTGAGGACAATGCATCCCTTAGGTTTGGGGGTGAGTTGTCTAGTTTTTGTCTTGTGTGTTTAATTTATGCCTTATATCGTGTTTATTTTTAGAATGTGTGTTTAGCATTAATTGCATGATTTTAGCATTTTGTTAAAGCATATAGGAAATGCATTTGTAATGCTACATGATTAATATTAGGAAATCAATGAAGTTTATTTTCTTTTAGGAAATTTTGACGATGCCCAGTGATGAAAACAGTATATATTGTGAAATGCTAGGGGAATGCTATAGAAACTTAGTAGAATTAGAGTTCATAGAAATCCTTTTAACAGTATATGTGTATGTTCCCAATACTTAGAGATGTTAGAAATTTTTTAACTTTAAATCTCATATCTTGATTAGATGTTGCAATTAATCTTGTAAAAAAAGAGATAAATATGAGAGAGGGAGAAAATTAGGGAATAAGTTGGAAAAGTTGGTAATATCTCCAACATAGTCTTAGGGAATAAGTTGGGTAATGTTGGTCATAGCTCTAACATAGGTTTTAGGAAATAAGTTAGAATGCTCCAACATAGATTAAGACAGATTGTTACATCATTGAAAATCTTTAAATGAGTAGGAACATTTTTTCTAACTTAGCTAAATATTGATTGGATACACCTAGCATGCAATTACTGCACTCTACGAATTCTGAATTTGCTAAGTTGAAATTGCATTCCTTAATTTAAGAACATATATGTTGTATGCACTGCTGCAGCAGTTCTTTGAGGGCTGAAAAATGAAATTGAAGAAAATTATTGATTTGTTTCATGATATGTTTTTCTGTGGCACCGTTGTTAGTTTTAGTAGTCATGCATGTTGTTGCTTGAGGACAAGCGACACTTAGGTTTGGAGGTGTGATAACTCTTCGAAAGAGTTATCTTTTTAATATTTTTTACCTAGGTTAGGCTTGAACTTTAGCATTATCAGGGTCATATTAGGATCATTTTTATATATCTTTCATCATTTTCATCATGGGAGTGAGTTGGTGAAAGTTGGCTTAATTTTAATGTTTTATGTTATAAATTGGTACGCAATGATGTGGCATTATTTGAAGCTATAGGTGATGTTGTGATACGATGCTTCCATGTCGATACTGCAGCAACTGGTAATTCAGTAGATAGTTATAGAATTTTCTAGATTCGTACAACTATCCAATAAAACTGCAAAATGGCTGAAAAATATAGGAAAATCATATTTTTTTCTATTGGAGGATGCTTTGACTTGTTGGGCTTATAAATAGGATCTCCCTTCACACTTTTGACACTTCTTCTTCAATCTTTCTTCATTTTCATTTATTTTCTTCTTTCCTCTACCTGCCATAGAGGTTTGAATCTACTGAGGAGTGTTGCAGCAGCGTAGGAGCCTTGTCAACTAGCTTCAGTGGACAAGAAGATTTCTTTCCTACTCTCGCTCTTTTTTTTAGATAGGGAAGTAGCATGTAGATTTGAATGTTACTTAATTTCTAAGGATGATATTTTGGGTTATGAACTTGGTCGTTTTTTTAAATTCTTTTAATTATGTTTATAATATGACTTTATGTTATATGTTACTATACTTTTAAAGATAGTTGTAGAAATATAATTATCTTCATGTATGTTTATTGATAATTTTTAGAAATGAAAATCATTAATATATATACTACTTTTATTCAGCCTTGGTTTGCTGAAAAGCAAGTTTGCATGTAAGATACATGATGCCCAATATCTAGCATTGTTAATAGTTTAATTGATTGAGTCAATGAAAGTTGATTTATGTCTTTTAGATAATATTAATCATTGCTAGATGCATAAACATTTTGTTCATGATATACTCGTAATGGAAGCTGCCAAATATATTTATAATCCATTCGATCTTTGACCTATTGCTCTCACTATGTTGCAGCACTGCTTGCCATCTCTATCCTATTTTTAATACCTTTGTTATAGTTCTGTTTCTTCCCATTCACAGTATTTACCATTTAATATTCAAAGTTAACCATTTAAAATTGTAATTCCTTTCTCTCTATGGGTTCGACATCTGAAACTCTTGTAGTTTCCATTTTATTATTTAATATGCGACACGTGCACTTGCGTAATTACTATAAAATTTTCGTAGCTTCAATAAAAAATGACTAGAATAGAGTAGCTTAATAAATAATATCAGTAACAGACTAATAAGCCTTCGCATAAAGTTTTATATGAGAGAACGAGCGAGATAGCAACTAGTGATAGGATATCCTGACTTTAGTGAGTCCAGTTATGCTAGGGTATAGTCAGGATACCTTAGTTGCCTTAGTGGCATTTTCAGTGTGCGAGGCACTTCAGGGGATAACTAGGACTCGAGGCCTGAAAACTCATAAGGAGTGGGTTAGCGATATCAGTATTGTGTGGCTTTTGGGCCTTAGACATGTATGTATAGTTGCATCAGTTCAGTACATCAGATATGTTAAAGTTTGGCTTGAAGGCTATGTGAGACCGAGCCAATACTTTTGTTAGATCGAAATTATTTTGATGCTATATGACATCGGGTTCCCCTCCATGATCTACCTGATGGCTATGTGAGGACCAGAAGATCATTCTGCGTGTTAGTGGAAATTTCACCGATGCTATGTGACACTGAGTTCCCTCAATTAACTAGTGTCTGATGGCTATGTGAGACTATACACTAGTCAGGGTGCATTCAAATGATGCATATTATAGTTAGGGGTGCATTCAGATAATGCATAATATGGATAGGTTTGCATTCAGATAATGCATAGGAGCATCAGTGTCGCATTTAGATAATTCGTAGCAGTTATAGTCATTAGAATTAGAAACCCCTTGAGTGGTGTACTCATGGTGAGGCTCATCAAA